CCTGGTGGGAAAGAGGGTGAAGGAAAACGGCCTCTGTTCCTGGTTCCCGACAATGGAAGAGTGAAGGAGCACGGCCCGGACTGTGACCAGCCGACGGAGCGACACGCAGCCAACACATTAAGAGGCTGAATACTGTGAAACGAGCACAGTTTCCTGCAGGGTAGCAGTGGAAGATTAGCTGCAAATCCCTTTTGTTTGGGACTTGTAAACATTCTTGCACTCAACCTAGACTGTCAGTCGGTTCTCTTCGCTGTAGGTCTAGGTGGAGTTCTCCAGTGATGCCAAGTTGTCCTTTGAGGATATCAAAGGCATAAGGGACAAGAGAGCAGGGTCTTACGCTGTTCTGCTGCCTGAGCCAGGCCGGAGCAGGTCCTGGGGAGCGTGGCAGGCAGCACGGCGCTCCGTGAAGCTGTCGGAGCTGCTGCCTCAGCTGAGCACCACGCTGCAGCCCACATCTGCCTCTTCCCCGACTCAGAGGGAGTCCCGCTGGGATGTGCAGCAGCTCGACTCCGATCCTCCCTCCCTCTCGCTTCTTGGGACCAGCCTGAGCGTGACCTCCCCTGGGGAAAATGACTCACCCAGGCGTGGCACAACACGGGCCGGTCAGACCCCGCCAATGAGCAACACAGGCGCTGGCCAAGACACTGGGCTACGAAATGGTCACTGCCAGAATTTAAGGAGCCAGACCCAGCTTCACCTTGTGGGCTGCAGCCACAGAAGAATCACAGAATCATGAGAGAAGTGTGAGAGGGCAGGACTGGAGAACATGAAACTTCTGCTCAACTTTCTCCCACACACCCAAATCCCACCCTCCTCCTCCTTCCCTGTTACAGTGACGGAGATGCAAACCAAACACACCTTTTCTTGGAGCTGATCTCTATTTCAAAAGAAGGCTGCTCCTGTGGGAATAAAATACGAACACTGGCACGGGGTGGTGAACAAGTCCCTAGAAATTTTTTGCCACCCGGTTACTTCCTTCCCTTCTTAAATACCCTGAAATAAATAGTACTACAGTAGCTTCAGCCTCATACAGTTGTGAGAATGCTTCATGCAAGAAAAAAAAAAGAAGAAAAAAAGAAAGAAAGAAACAAAAAAATCCCAAACCCAAAAAGCCCTTCCCTGGCTATGCAGGTCCGGAAATCTCAGTGTTTCCTCATCACCCCTGGGAAAGGGAAGGGCTTTGCCGAGACACAATCCAGCAGAGTCACCAGCAGTTCTCCACCAGCTCCCCAAGGTGCCAGACCCAAATCCTGCCCTGACTTGCAGGCAGCGCGTGGAAGCTCTGGGTTCCTCTCGTGGTCACCAGGTGAGCGAAAGGAGAGGCAGCCCCCGAGGAGCCGCGCTCGTTACACAGCTCCGCGAGGCTGGGCTGGCTGCAGAGAGGGCAGAACGTGGCAGCCGGTGCTTGACAAGTGTCAGAGTTTCTGCAGACCCCTGAAACGCTCCCAGGATTACTGCTGTCTTTGCCTACCTTATCGTGGCAAAGAGGGTGAAAAAACAACAACAAAAGCCAAACCCATCAACACTCCTGTAAGGTGACTGACTACTTCTAGACAGACACTGCTTCGTCACTCAGCACAGGGCTAAGCACGCTCCCAGGGAACGGCGAGGGCGCAGCGGGTGCCGTGGGGGACACACACACAACTTTCCAGGTTTCTGTGGTGCCTCCCTCAGGCCTTGCTCAATTCCTGTTACTAGACAACATCTACGATAACTCACAAACTTCCCACAGGCTCCACGGGGCACTGGTCCCAGCATGCTCCAAACGCCTCCCGTTCTTCTTTAATCTGGCCAAGCACGGCAAGCTGGGACCCGTACCCTGCACAAGGAATACTGCTCGGCTGACACCGAGCAGGACATCTCTGTGGACTGTTTCCCAATAAAAAGAAACCAAGAGCAACTGTGATTTGCTCCGTTTAATTTCAATTAACTGCGACCCTCAGAGGCCAGGAGAGATGCCCATCTAGCAGTTTGTTGGCCAACCCCTTGGGAAAGTCCCATTTCTCAAACGCAAACCGCCCCTTCCCCAACAAAGCCTCTACTCTTCTCAGCTTGAAGTTTTAACAAGTCATCAAACCCCACTGTGCTAAACTAGTAAGAACTTCAAAACCTGCAGGTTTCCTCTGGAGGATGTGACTGAACAGTGGAAAGGACGCACGGGCAGGCAAGCATCCTTCTCTGCAGCGGGGACACTGCTACCTCTGGCAGCTCCGGACAGTGACAGTGTTACTGGATCCTGTTAGAAAGACACGACGTAGTTAGGGCTGGGGAAGAGGAAAAGGAGCAGCTGTTGTCCTCGGTGTGCTACAAATTCTCCTCCCTCCCTAGGTGGGGAAACAGGCAGCTTATTTGCAAAAGGCAAGTGGTTTCCTAAAAAACTACTGAAAAAACACGAAGGCTGCTCAGCCTCTTCCCCTAGAAAACTGTAAAAATGGTGGAGACACAGTGTGGCAGCAGCGAGGCTGGGAAGGTCTCTGGACCATGCCACAGCCACGGCGGGGTCCAGAGAGGTCTGGCTGCGACTCGTAGATGCTCCCTGTGGAGGATTCGGGAGCTCAGGTCCCCTCTGCCCTCTGTCTGGATGTTCACGGGGCAGTAAGTGGCTGCGGCTGGTCTCCACACTGTCCAGGCAGCTGCTGGTATGTTGGCATCTCCTGCCCGATCAGTCCTCGAGGCTGTTCTGTGACCGTAATCGCTGTCAGTGACCAGTCCCAGCTCGGGCTCCCCTCCTCCGGAGGTGTCTCCTCTGAGTGTGCTGCTGCTCAGTTGCTCTCTACCAGCTTGGCTAGTCCCTGCCGGATCTCACTGAGCTCAAATATCTTCACATCCATTATCTCTGCCACCTTGGTGACCTCGTTCTGCATCTTCTCCCTCTCAGCTAAGGTCTCCGCCAGCGTCTGCTCGGCCAGGTGAAGGCGCTGCTCCAGCTCCGCATTGCGTGCCTCCAGCTCCTGCCAAAGGACACAAGCACAGTGAGGTGGCTGTCCCAGCACTGATAAACGCTGCTCACAGACCAGCACCCTTATCTCTGTGAAACAGCCCTGCTAGCACCCCAGTGCCAGAGGACCCACACCCAGCCAGCCCGAATCTTCATCAGTCCTTTCATTGAGGAATCTCCCTACCTTGAGCCACAGCACTCCAGCACACGCATGTGAGCACGTGTTGCCCAAATCCAGGCACCTGCCCACAGTTCGCAAAGGCAGATCCGCTCACAGGCATCTCCAGGCCTAATGGCATTTCATATTTGAATGTTAATTCTGCCACAAAAGCCAGTGCCTGTGTATGGGGCCGAGTCCCGCACCAGAGCCCTTTGTCCAGTAGCTCAGAGGTAAACACAGGCAGGCAGCGCCCCTGGGGACTGCACAACAGATCGTGCTTCCATCTGTGTCCTTGCCCCAAGGTGCAGAGCAGCTTGCATCCCTCCTGCCAGCCCGACTGAGTCAGAGCTCTGCTCCCCAGCCATCCCTGGCCATCCAGCAAGCTACATGGGACTTCTGAGAGATGCAGGGTCACAGGACATCACCCGTCCTGCTCCTGTCCCATGCCAGAGGCTACTGCAAGTGCTAGAGGAGAATATGTGAAGGCTGGGTTTGCTGTCGTCTGCTGACTGAGCCCCCTCTGAGGGACACAGGGAGGGTGGAAGAAGGCAGAGACATAGGTGAGGACCTGTTCCCACCATCCAGAGGCAGAGAAAGGCATAGCAACCCTGCAACACTCACTTTTTGGCTTAAAGGAGAAACTGGGACGGATCTTTCTACTACGAGTGCAGGGGTGTCCCAGATCTGCCACCCTTACCTGCAGCTTCTGCAGCGTCTCCTCACGCTCGCCCTCTGCTTCCCATCGGCCACACTTCTGGCTCTTTAGCATCTGAATCTCCTAAAACACAAGGAGAAAGAGTATCATGTCAGACCCACTCCTGTCCCGGTGGGACCAGCTCTCACCACAAAGCCCAAACAAGGCCCCTTCCCTCTCTCCAAGGATCCCATACCCACACTCGGCTCCAGATTTTAACACCTCTCTTTTCAACGTCCGCTCTACCTGCTGCCTCCCTCTAAGCCCCTCATCAAGACGTCTGTCTGAGTGCCAGCAAGGTTCAGTGGTCTCTGCATCCTTGCTCAAGGTCCCAGGTTTTTGGGGCTAGGGTCCCTGCTCAGCTGTTGGGTGAAAGCCTTTGCACACCTTTGCCTTGCTGCAGCATTTTACTTCCAGCCCGAGTAGCTCTGGGGAGCAGGGAGAGATTTCTTCTCACTAAGGATCAGGAACACCAAAACATCTTCCCTCCCTAGTCCCTGTTTTGTGGCTCCAACCCTAAGGCTTTGTCCACCCGCCCTGCTGAAGAACGGCCGCCAGAGAGCCTGCAGCGCAAATCAGAGAGATTCTCTCCACATGTCCCCTCCTTCACAGCCTCTGTAATTAAAACTCTGTTTTAAATCATTCATTTAAATGCAGTGAAAGCGAGAAGCAATTACTACACTAGAGGCTAAGTGCAGCTGCAGACAGCTGGGAGGGGAAGGGGTAAGACACAGCCCTGTCGTTTGTGCAGCGTCTGAGACTCTCCACTCAAGGCTATTTGCAGGGGAAACTCCCAAGACTCTACTCTCACTCAGTTTTGCCTCTCTGGGGAGGGAGAGCACTGAGGGGGCTGCAGTGGCTCACAGAGGCTCCTGGCTTGCGCAGGCAGCACGTGCCACAGCACGAGGGGCCCTCTGCACTCATACAAGCTGTAATGACAGACAGAGCCGTGGCGAGCGACAGGCCACCCACCCTTAGGGTTTGCTTTGTGGGGTATTACCTCGTCTTTAGCCTTGATCAGCAGTTCCAGCTCCTCCAGGGTTTGGCTCAGCTCTTCCTTGTTGTTCTCACTGGAGGAATCATGAGACCCCTGTGACTCCAGTTCTGCTACCTACGTGGAAGCAAGCCCAGGGATAGCACACTCAGAGGTACAGGAATGTCCTGACACCTTCTCACCCATTCTCTGTCATGTTTTGGCTTCCTTGCAAACCCAGCAAGGCTTACAGCCGGGTAGCAGCTCCCACCCTGGGGCTGTTAGGGAAAAATTCTCTCCTTCTGCTCTGCCTAGATCACACACAGAAATACAGTGCGGCAAAATTCAGTCTAGAGACTCTGTCTCTGCTTTCTCCTGCAGTCTTGCACTTCCAGAAAAGCCTGACTGGCGGACATCAAGAACAAGAGCCTACAGCCCAACGCCACGGCTAGATCCAGCTCCATTTGCATCCCCGGGCTGAGATTGCCGAGGGCAAAGGAGTTACTGCAGCTCAACCACAGCAGAGCTGGGAGGAAGGGTTTTCCCAAGCGTGCTCCCCAGTCCTGAAAAATTCAGCCCAGTGGCTTAGATTATTCATGAAGAGGATTCATTTTTAAAAGCTCATCGGAAGGTCTGCGGCAGCTATCGCTGAGGCCCAGGCCCTGCAACTGCAGCTCTGGTGGTGGGTACTGTGACACAGACAGGGCTCGGACGCTGGTCTGATGCCCTCCCATGAGCAGGGGCAGCAGGGCAACACTGGCTGAGCTGGGCTTCTGCCAGAATCCACATAAAGAGTGGTTGTGAGCTGTCAGGCTCACAGGATCACGACCAGAATCAACCAGTTCTGGCCCCAAATGCTCCAGTTTAGGGACAATAATCTAGATGTTTTATTGAGCTACAGTTACTTCTACGATTCTGCAAAGTCCCCAGTGGTTGCCCTTCACCCAAGGCTCATGAAATCCTCACTCCTGGTAGTGAGAAAAGCCACCAAACAGCTGCGTAAGCACAGAGCAACGGCAGGGAAAAGGCAGCCTGATCCAGCCAGCCCCAAAACCACACATGTACGTAGGCACAACCAAGATCTCTGCTGTACCTAGGGCAGGCTCCTGCTGCAGAGGAGAAAATTCGTTCCATGCAGCTCTTTCACTGCCTGGCTCCAGCACCGAGAGGTAGCAACGGGCACAGCGAATCCTGGGGGACGGCTGTTTACTGCACAGACTGGCCACGCAACAGTCATCAAGAGGAAACAGCTGTTAATTGCTATAAATCCCTGCTGTCTTTTGAATGAGCTATCCAGAAGGGAAATGGCTTTATGCCTTCTTCGCCAGGGCTCCAAAGTCCTTTCCCAGTCAAACCCCAACTGTCCTAAAAACCCTTTCCCAAGCACTCGGCAGTTCTTCCCCGTCAACAAACCCAGCCGTGTGACTGTCACTCCTCTGCCCAGACACACACAGGCCTCCTCAGTTGATCTGTGACCTCCCTGACATTACACAGGTCAAAAGATCCTATTATTCCAACCGAAAAAGGGCTTGTTTGTACTGTGCCACCCGGGTTCCATGATGTCGCAGCTTGGATTCAAGCTAATTATAGCAGAGAGAGCAGTCTTCATCCTTCCTGTCAGCAGCCAGAAGACTGCCCTGATGCCCAGCTCAGGGAGGGGTACGGGCCTTACTCAGTATTGCTGGCAGCTGGGAACTACCCCCAGAAAACCTGAAGGGAAGCTTGCATTCTTTGATTTTATGCTCTGGCTTCCTCTGTCCATCCAGGGGACCCGGCACACTCCCAACTCGCTCTGCAGAGAACAGGAGCTCTTGCGAGCGCTCCTTAGTTACACGGCCCTGACCCTTGACAAGTTTTCCTTGCTAGGCTCCTGCAGCATCCTGAATTTCCGTCCCATCTCCCGCTGACATCCATGAAAACTGATGGGAGAAGGGGGTCTGGGGCATCATCTGGCTCTGGGAGGGCCCTCCCATGCTCACCCGCTGCCGCAGCGTTTCCGTCTCCTCCTGATAAGCAGCCAGCTGCTTCTTCCACTGGTCCACGTTGGCATTGGCTTCATGGAGAGCAGCCACGAGCTTGTTGTTGTTGTCCTGGAGGCTGAAGAATTCGGCCTCCCACTGGACCTCACTCACTGACCTGTGGGAGAGAACAGCAGAAGTGTGCAGGAGAGTGTAAGAGAGTCTCTGCACACAGGTTTCTTCCCCCAGTGCCAACACGCAATGAGACCACGCTCTTGGAATTGCCGTTTTCTATTTGGCTTTTGTACCACCTCCCAAATTTAAATGCTTCCTCCAACCGTGAATCTGCATCTCTTTCCTTTATCCCTGGATAGTATTTGACTTTGAGGCCGTGTGTCCTCACTTGAAACTACAGAAACCACGCTGTGAGACTAATGGAGTGGGGGAGATGCGGCTACTAGAAAGAAACTTTGCAATGTAGGACTGTGAATCCACTTTTTAAATCCTTGCTAGATCTCAGTTTGCTTTGAATAAAACCCCAGACTTAGGAGAAGGTAGCAAAGGACACTTGCTTTTAATTCAAAAATATTTTAAGTGTTCAACTGGGAGCTCAATGAGACCCACGGGGTAGAATCCAGCCCAGAGTCTTTTGAATAGACAAAGAGCAGAAGCAGCAGGGACTTTGCTGGAATCATCAGGGGAATTAACACAAATGCAGCCCTGGGCCAGCTGGAAAAGTGTGAACATCTTCTGGTATCACAAACTACTGATCTGTAGATAACTGGCATCAACTCATCCCCGCTGCAGGCACAAAGCATTCTCCTTCCCAGGCTGCCTGAACAGCAGATTTCACCTCCAAGCTGGAATAACTTTCTGCCGGGGAAGAAGGGAAATTGGTGCGGTGGAGGGTTTGAGCAGCAGCAGACAACGGGGCATTACTCAGCTCTCTCAGAAAGTAGCGTCAGGTCAAAAGCACTTGGGATGACAGGGCCATGCCCCGAGTCCTGCCAAAATAGACAGTTGAGGAGTCAGGAGCAGAGAGCATTTGTGGCAGCCTCACCCTTCAGAAAGCATCTTCTTCAGCCGCTCCTTCTCTGTTGTTATCTCAACATCTGCACTCTGGCTCCGAAATAATTTGTCTTCTCCCGGCCCATTGGAGCTGATGATGGGGCTGGGAAGCACCTGGGGGGTGAGGGAGAGGTGGTTATCGCAGGGCAGGGAACACAGGCCTGCGAGGGCTTTGCAAACACATTCACAGCCGGGTTCCCAGGGCTCTTGTGAGAAACACTGATATTCAGTCCTAACTCGTGGGCAGCGCCGCGCTCACCCACATGACAAGGGGTGTCAAAGATCCTCACGCATGGCTCAGCAGCACCATGATGGCTTTGGGAGCTGTGCAGACACAGGGCTCTCTCTTGGACAGGTAGGTGAGTGTCCTGCTCTTCCACAAGCTGCCCTGCTGCCACGTCCTGCCCTTCCCTGTCTCCACACCATGCTGGGGCAGCGATCCCAGTGCACAGACACCCCGAGCGGGTGGGCTTGCAGACTGCACACGCCAGCTATTCCTGTTACCTCCTGTAACCCGTGTCCTGCGGCCGGGGACAACACGCTGCTCGAGCTGGCCCTTCCAGGGTTTTGCTGAATTCTTAATAGGATTTTCTTGCTGGGAGCAGTGGAAAGACTTAATGGACTCTAAACACAGACCTGGGTTCAGTTGCAAATCTGGCTTCTGTACCTTGAATTAAGACACCAGGTGCCACTGGAATAGCGTTTCTCAGGCTCAAGGAGGGAAAATCTGTCATTGCTCAGATAACCGTGGCACTCCCTTTCCAAAGGTGTGGGAAAAGAAACTCACGGTCTCTGCACCAAAGCACCCCCCTCTGTATGGCTCCATATTCCTGCGTACATGAGGGCTAGCAGAGACAAACAATTCCTCCTCCCACGCTGGAGGGAGCTGCCAGCGGAGCAGAGGCGAATAGGCAGCAGCCAAAGTGGACTTTGGCTTCTGCAAATTCAGAGCTTCCGCTCCGGCCCCTCCAGAAGACCCCGTCTGCTCTGTCTCCTCTCGCAGCAGAGAAGAATCTTGGCACCAAGAGGGCAAACTGAGCTATAAAAAGGCTCTCTGAGCAGTAAGTCTCTGGGATCTGGAGTTGGGGGCTGTGAGACCAGGTGGCTGGTCAGCCTGCTGGAGTTCATAGGTGGCCCTCAAATGCCTGTGGTAAGGACAGCCACCTGCCTCCAGAGTCGGCTGACATCTATAAATAGAGCCCGACGGGGCCGCGAGATGTACTGAACACCAACTTCATGATGCCTTCCAGAGACTGACTGAGAAGTGAGACCTGCAAAATACAGCCCTGCCTCACCTTTACTGCAAGGTGGGGAAACGGAGGCAGCTTTCCTAGTCTGCTGTGTTGAGCCCCTGTGAGCCCAACTGAAACTGATAACAGCTGGAGATGCTCCACACTGGTTTACTGCTTCCATTACCCACAGTGACAGACTCTGTGATGGGGATGCTAAATGAGATGGGGATCGGCCTAAAAGGTACCAGAGGAGAGAAGAGAGCTGCCATCCTGGGATTTCCCCAGCTCTGAAATTCTGAAGGCTAAGTAAACTAGTGTAGACGCGGAAAATGAGGGAGCCCTGATTTAATTTCAGGAGACAGATTCTGCTCTCTGCTCACTTGCAAACAGAAACACAATCAATTATTCAAGGATGAAACTCATGCTGGAAGCTCTATTAATGTGGAGACTATGAATCAGCAGTGGGACAGCGGGAGAAGGGACGATGGGCCGATGTACAGCCTGGGGAAGGCAGAAAATGTGGGAGATCTGCATGCCCAGGGCACAGCTCTCCAGAGCTTATCCTCCCTCCTCCATTCCACTGCTACTGGAGTTGGTTTAGCTATACAAGGAGAAAGGTAACAACTGCAAGTACAACGTGTGTGACAACGATCTGCAATGGGCTTAAGCTTTCTGGCTTGGTCTCCTGGGGGAAAAAAAATTGAATGAGTGGCTGTCGTGCATGCAGCTCTAGCTCAGGGAAGAGTTCCCAAGGCGTGTGTGATTTCTACTCTCGCAGCACAGCTTCTCTTCCACAGTGCAAATATGACACAGGTACAGCCAGGACTCCTCAGTCACCAGCTCTAAGAAATCACTTTGTCTTTCCAGGAACAGCACCATCACCTATCAGGGACACTTGGAGAAGAACCCAATCTACTTCAGGTGTTTCAGCAGAGCCACCACAAGACTCATCAAAACGTGAAGCTCCAACCTCAATTTCTGGCAGGAAAGCTCTTGGAGAGAAAGGGATGAAAGTAAGAAGTTACTAGAGGAGCTCAGCTCGGTGACCGTTTTCCCTAGCTGTCCTTGCTCTGCAGTGAGCTCCAGCCATGCCTCTTTCCAAGCATTACCTGGTGAGATGTGATACTCAGGGCAGGGTTTGTCAGCTCTGTTTTATCCTGGGACTTCTCCCTCGCCAAACGGGCTGCTTCTTTCACTTCCTGGAACTTCTCTGCAAACTAGAGGGAAGCAGAAAAGTCGCTCTGTCGCTATACCGAAATGCGGAATGAACAAGAACTCGCTCTCGGGTTGCTCCTCCCTTTGCAACTCCATTCGACATGCTTTTTAATTTCTCTTCAACTATCAATAAAATTCAGGAAATAGCCCCTTTGTGCGCCTGCCCGTGACTCTGGCACTCAGGGCTGTGGGGTGAGCTAAGCAGCAACGACAGCCATTGAGCTCAAAGTCCTAATTCCATTTGTGATGCTCGAGACACTCTGCAGATATTACCATAAAGCATCTTTGCATCTCGCGTTAGATTTTAGCACGGTGGGAACTGCATTATATCAGGTTGCGAAAGTGTTTTCTCCGGAGGCTGATGTTCAGGGACGTTGCCCCTGCTAGCATCAGGACTCTGCCAGCACGGGCAGCATTACCTGGGAGAGATGTTGCTCCGAAGCAAAGCCCAACCCATACACCGTGTTGGCTCGGCTGTCTGCCCATTGCCCAAACTTCTGGGACGTCTTTGTGAAGGTCATGTTGGGGGTAATAGTGCTGTTGATGATTGCCTATAAAGAGAGGCAACAAGGAGAGTCAGAGGAAAATCCAGCCTGCTGCCCTGGGGTGGTGGTGTGGGATTGATCAGTATAATCTTGGTGCACTTTAGAAACTTGGAGTAGAAAGCTCTGGGTTTTAATGTATAAAACAACAACTCCAGCTTTTGGTGACCAAGAGTCTTTCTCGTCTGTCTGCGTGACACAAACATTTCTCAATCATCTTGCCTGCTGAAAAAAAGAAAAGAAAAAAGCCTCAGTATCATCAGCTTCCTCCATTGCTGGAAAAGAAGATAAGAGACAGTGTGCCTCTGGGGACTTAACAACTTTCTGATGTTCTCCATTTTCATGGTGAGTAAGAAAAAAAAAAAAGTCTTAAACAGCAGTCAGGAGTAGCTATTACGAAACACTCTCTGGTGGTAAGAGTAACAACAAAATAAATTGCCTGGGAAGACTGCTGAATCTCTGCCACTGGAGGTCTTCAAGAACAAGTCAGGAAAATGCCTATCAAGAGCAGTTTAGGGAGAGTTAATCATGTTTTGTGGAAGTGACTGAACAGGCTAACTTGGAGACTCCCACAACCTCTGTCTGTGATTTCATGTTATCTACAGGGGTTGGGTTTAGCACTGGATAAAGGATTTTGGAAAAATCTGTGTTTTGTGTGCTTGGGGGTGGGGGGTGAGAAGAGCGTGGGGCAGGCAGGGACAACATCAGACCCTAGGGCATATTGTTTGTCGCCACAGATTTTACTGTCTAACACTAAACACACCTGAGCACGGAGGCAGTGTCTGACCTTGAGTTCCTGCAGTGAAGATGCTCGAGAGACCATGCTGAGAACTGACCAATCTGACACCGAAACCACCAACACCAGAACAGACTTTGGCTGGAGAACAACCTGCTGCGAAGCTGCGTGACGCCGGCAGCAGGTGCCCGCCCTACCTTGGTGCCCCCCACGCTGATGATGCGGTACACGTTGCGTGTGGCATCGTAGAAATAGGAGACAGTCAAAGCGTGCTTGCTGGCAGGGATCCAGTTCCGTTTGGTGGCAGGATCGATCTGGAAAACGTGGGCCCTGGTGCTGAAGATCGGCTGCTCCCTGCAAGAGAAATGAACAAACAAGGTGTCAGGGCAGTGGGGAAACCGAGGAATGTGGGAAGAGCACTGACTTCCTGGCACTTGTCTTGCATTAGGCAGCACCAGCAGCACTTCTGCTATTGCCTTCTTCCCAGGGATGCGAGGCACCGGGTGCGAAGATGTGCAGCCCCCAAGGACGCAGCATCTCTCAACCAGCAGCCTCTGTGCAGGGAGTAGCAGTCCCTCGCTGTCCAGGCTGGTATCCCCTCGTGTCCCTTCTTATCAGGGGAGCTCTCCACCATTCTTGTGAGTTGCTTTTCCAAGACTTCTGGGCTTCCCTGTGCTCTCTACAGGAGCTCTCCGCAGCCTCTCGGCACTCCTCCAAAGCCTGTTTTAGAAGGGGCTGAGGGATGGCTGGCTGACACCCCCGGGGAGTACAAGCCCACGGGTGTTTACGCCTCCTGTTTGCCCACCATCCAGGCAGCATGACGAGAGCAGCTTTCGCTGCACACCAGAGACATTGGTCTACGAAAAAGCTCCCTTGGCATAACCACAAAGCTACCATGGGTGTTCAACGACAGGCACAAGTTTTTACCTTCCTCTGGAGATTCTCTGTCTTCCCCTGCAGCTTTCAGACATTTCCAAAGACCACAGCCTGGCCATTCCAGCAGTAACAGACTACACCCTCAGGTCAGTGGATCTCACACACATGTTCACACCATGACAGGCACAAAACTTGCAAGCAGGACACCACAACCTCGTGTTTGGGGCGTACTTGATGGTCCTTCACAACACAGCCTACATGGCAGTGTCACACTAAAAATAACATAACCCCTAATCATTAGCCTGACTTGAAGCTTTTTTTTCATCATCTCTCAGCACCTCAGTGGTCAGTTCATGGCAAATTCACCAGGTATATGATTTCTCTGGTATTTCATAGAGTATCTCCGAGCTGGAGCTCTAGGGAAATGGAGGGATGGATGAAGGATGTGTTTGGGATGCGAGTACACAAAGCGCCTTCCCCTCAGCCCAGCTCTTCCTCCCTTGACTCATGCTTGGGAAGCACATCCTGCAGCAAGAGGTCACATCGCAGGACTAAAAGCACATCACTTAACAATGAATCAAAGGAAACACTTCACCACAAAATGTGCAGCTGCTGCAAGAAAGCACTGAACGGAGCACTGCCCGGACTTTGTAACCAGTAACATCTGAGCTGAACTAAGGAGCTGAATCTCAGGCATCAGGATGTAACTTGAGCTTTTCAGGAGGCAGGAAGGAATGTTTCCATGACACAACAGTCCAGGTGCACGAGGGCTCGGGGTCTTCATTTAGCTTTGGTTAAAACCCAAGGCACTGGCCATTGCCACAATTCTTATCCAAACCTCATGAAATCTGACGGGACTGGAAACAACCCCCCTCCACGACAGCTGCAAACAAGACATAGTCACAGTCCTGCCACGTGTAAGTTCCCAAAATCCAGACATTTGTATTTCCTCCCCACTGCAGGCCCTCACAGGTGCAATGAGCAGTCCTTTCCATCAATCCAGAGACAGCTGTACCTGGCGCTTTCTGCACCTTAACCCTCAAGTCCTGGGCTTAGTCTCGGCAAGAACAGAGAAAGGACATTACCGTGTTGCTGCCATTTGTTAGTTTGGGTAAGACAGACTACAGGCCAGGGGAGTTACTACGTGTCTCTCCTCCAAGAGCTTCCTCCTCAGGTCTCCTAGCTGGACTGAGGCTGCTTTTTGGTTTTGCCTCCGCAGCGATTCATTTCCGAGCGATGGAAAAGTCAGCTGTTATTTATCGCCCAGAGCACAGACGGAGCGTTCAGCCAGGCAGCGTTTAGGGGCTTCATTTGTCCCGAGCTCACAAAGCTTGTAATTTGTAATGATTTCTCATCACTGAACAAGTTTTCTTCCCTGTCATGGGAGATAATTGGGTGAGCTGTGTAACTAGAGAAAATCCCTTTGGCAGCAGGCGCCGGCTGTTGGGAGAAGGCCACGGAGGAGCCTGGAAGGCTCTAGTGTTTCCAGTCAGGCACACGTGACGCCGGCTGCATGACGGAAAACCCTCCTCAGAGATCACCCCTCACACGCGCGGCAGCTATTCCTGCGCTCGCTATTCATCTGCCAGGTCTGCGCCCAGAGTCGAAAGAAACCATCCTGCTGACTGCAGCAGGTTTCGGACCGAGGGATGTTTTCCCTTGCCACGCACCCTGACAGAGCTCTCTGACACTCCTGGAGACGACCCTTGTCTGCTCACAGGGACGGGGTTGCAGCATCGCCTGGGAATTCACCCACCCTGCCCTGTGCTCCACAGAGCCAGGCACAACCCCAGAGCCCAGCAGCGAGGAGTCCCCGAGGGTGCCACGAGAGACAGCTGTGCTGCTCATTTGCTTTGTAAATTATTCTCTCCAGTAAACAGTCCCCACCCTGCCCTCCCCATATCAGCAGAGACTGCGCATCTCAGAAAAGGAGCAAAAGGGTAAGAAAGTGAATTTGCGTGGTGAAGGATGCCCACAGAAGGGGTAGAGAGCCCAGATCTCCCAGCTTTGCTGCTAAGTCTGCCTTCAAGTGGGCCAGCTTAGACTGTCTTACTACCTGGAGAGCCCCATTGATCAGTGCAAGGCAGGAGAGGCTCAGGAGGCCACTCAGATGTCAACTGTCCTGTAATTGCAGCGTCACTAACCGCAAAAGGCAGCACTGCTTTCCTTCTGAGCACCAGGAGTGGAAAAATAAAATGCCACTGGAAGGTCTGTCAGAAAGGAGAAAAGCCCATCTTCCCAGGGGTTAGCCTTCTACTCACACGAGGCTGACTTGGCTGCTCCCACGCCCAGCGCAGCCCCTGGGCACGCACGCTCTTTTCCTTGTCTCGGGTACGCCAAAACACGCGTCGCTTAGGGTGCTGATGGGGAAGGGCGCTCTACTTTCTGTGCCTTCACGTAACCACTGCTGTCTCGACACTCCTCACGCATTTGTTCGTGCCTTATGGCCTCCCCTGGAGCAACAAGACTTCACATGGTCTTCGAGAGGTGTATCCCTTCCAGGAACAAACGCGAAAGTCTCACAGATTTTCAGAACAGCCCTCTGCCCACTACACCAGATGTGCTTTCCTTCCAACAGAGGCAGCAACGGCAGCGAGGCTCATCAACTTCACCTGCCTGGTGCCAAGGAGGGAACTCCTGCACCTCCTCTGAGGGCAAAAAAATATGGAGAATCTCCCGAAATTCTCCTTCACATCTCCCCTTTCCTCAGCGCAAACACGAGCAGTTGCTGCCAACTTGCATGTCCCTAATCCTGGTGACTGGAGATCGTTTTATGAGGCCAGCACATTATTGCCTCCTCACAGCTACCTGAGCACAGTGCCAGCCTGGCACGGGGACAGGGCTTTCCAGGAAGGAGTTGCTTAAGCTCTGTAGGTAAAGCTCAGGAGGGCTTTGTGCTCTGCTTGGGAACAGCATTGAGGTGTTTATGCTCCCTTTGCAGTGCTTGTGCAGGGAAAAAAAAACCAAAACAAAACAGCTCTTCGATTGTTTGCTTTAAATTCATCAAGTGATACAGACTGTATCCAGGTAGTACAAGAATTTCATTGTCAAGAATGCTGGCTAGCCTGGAAACCTGCCTTTCGGTACTCACTACTCTGACAAGGTTAAAGCAAACGCTACCAAACAAAAGCTTTCCTGGAGTCTAAGCAGGGGAGTTACGAGAAAGAACACTCAGAAAGCGTAGGCAGCAACGCAAACCAAGAGAGAAGAAAAGCAAGAAGGTCTGTGAATCTAGGGGCACATCTCTAACAAGTCACAAATGGCTTATTAAGCGGAAAATGCCTCTACCTCACCCTCGCTGCGATTCCTTTAGCGGCAAAGAACCACGGCAGGTCTGACACAGCTCAGCAGGACCGAATGGATCAGCAAGGTGGGGACACAGGCAGGACTGCGGGGCACTGGCGTACGTGCTGAGTGAAGTTCAGAGCAGGAGAAGCACAGGTCCTGAAAGGCAGATCTGCGAGGAGGAATGTCTGAGGAGCACTTGTCTGCGTTCAGCTTGCTTCTGGCCAAGCTGCTGACCTCTTGCTCGCAAAACCACTACAAAGCATTTAAAAATAGTCCTGAGAGAGCCTAGGATTCAAACTGTCATGTTCTCTCTCCCGTTACAGCCCTCTTTTCCCCTGTGTTTTAAGTGTATATGCTGGAAACACCACACATCCCTAAATGCTGACACTTCTTTTCCTGCTCCCAGCTGGGAGTCCCCATAACAATACAGGCAGAGCAGCAAAAAAGGGCATGTGTAAATAAAACCACTTACAGCCCCCCAGGGCTGTCCTTTGCAGATAATTAAGAAAAACCAAAGCAAACTGAAAGGACAAAGATCTGGCTGAGACACAGACATGATCAGCAAGTGCCTGATGGCAATTGGAAAGGATCCAGGGCTCATCGCTGCCAGCATTTGTTCCCAGCCCAGGGGGGAAGGGCAAAATTCAATATCCCAGCTGATAGCTTAAAAATGACCCGTCCCCCATGAATGTTCCCTAACGCTCCAGCAGCAGCCTTCCAGCTAAGGAGGAAAACCAAACTGCTGTAAGGGAAACAAAGAGATGATCTAACCGACACAGCTCTTCCTAATGAGTTCTTCGCACAGAAAGCACCTGGCTCCAGGATGCTCCCCAGTAAAGACCCAAATGGGGTGGCTTCTCCTTACGGAGCAAAGGGAAGAAGGTCACGTGGTGCTCGGGAAGGACACGTGAATATGCAGGGTACGGATCAATCCTTTCCGATGTGCTCACCGACTGGAGTCTCTGACTCAGTGGTCGTTAAGATGACATGTAAAAGCGCACACCGGTCTCATTTCCACCTTGGTTCTCAGATTATTCCCCTCTCTACAGCATCCAAATTGATTTCTCGATGAATAGCTTCTTATTTCACCATTGCCAGGAGAGCAAATCATTATTTGTCCTCTTGACTTATGATCTCAGCAGAGCAGCAATGGACCGAGTGAGCCAAAGGGACCGAGTTTGTTAAGGCTG